CCCCCGGAGAATCGAACTAATGGAACAACCGCTGTCATGTCATCCAGAGGTCTGCCAAAATATTGTTCTAAAGCTTGAACACCAAAGCATCAAACATGGAGGAAATACTGTGTGCAGCCTTAACATGAGAACGCACCCTTTAGGTCTAAAAAAGGAGTTTGCCGGGTCAGTCTGCGCACTTTGATGATTAAAGCCTTCAGCGGTCTTCAAAGGGTCTTTAAGGGGGAAGGGGCAACGTACGGTCAGTAATAAGAGTTTGTTTTCATGCAGATGTGTTGCATTTTTGGATCAAATGAAGCCAAGGCGAGGAGGGTGGAGGGTAGATTTGCACCTTGATCATCTGCAGTTTATCATGTGGCATTGAGGCAGGGCTTTGATTACAAATCAAAGGCTTTTTCATTTGGCTTGGGAAAGCAAACCTGGCACCGAGCACACATCCGGGACACGACCTTTAGAGCAACACGTTTCTAATAAATATACAGTGTTACTCAATGACAGCCACACTGAATAAACAGGTTCCGACATGAGAAGATGGAGCTATAGACTATTTTAGGTTTACTTTCCTGGCCATCTTAACACAAACATCATAAAGTGCCAACTTGAAGGAAACTAAATAAATAGGTCACCTTATGGCTTACTAATCATTTAAAGGATACAAGCTGGGTGTTATGGGTTCAATCTGAGATTAGGGATGCTCATGTGAGTTTCCTATGCCTTTGAAAAAAATACATCTGCAACAAGAAAGTATTGCTGGCAGGGAAACGAAAACCGCAGTACATTCTCTTCCCATGGCGCAGAAGGAAGTGCACACAGAACACAAAGATTCTTAACAAACAGCAGATCCTTGTTCGGAGGTCAAAGCAGGAGCTACATTTAACCGAGTCACAAGGATCTTCACAGTCACATGCATTTAGTGATATACAGCCGAGCGCCACAGACAATGGAAGACAGCCCCTCGTACATTATTAAGACCGACATGTAAAGGCCATTCTGAAAGCCAAGCAACCCTCACACACTACACTAAAGCCTGACAGACAAAAGTAAGACATGATATGTTCAACTGACCTTAACAATGTGGGTGTTTTATATTAAATAGGCCTTTACTAGCTGCAGGAAGCTTTACTAAATTTGTTTATTTTTATTATGCCTCCTGTAGCACCTTGGGATTGCTGTGAGCAATGAAAGGTGCTTTATAAATCGAATTTATTATTATTATTAGGAAATAGAGAAAGGAAGTATTTGATTATGGCTGTCAATTTAACAAATTAAAATAGTAGGTGATGTGATTATACAAACTAATGAATAACAGGAACAAGATGAAGAAAGAGGGCAACCGGTTTCTATAGACTCATGCTCCTAAGCGATGCGTCAAGTATTCACAAATAAAGCTTTTTAAAAACAAACCGCTTCAGTCATTGAAATATTATTTGTTGAGTCAAATATATCTTAATATAATAATCAACTGTTGTGCAAAGTCCTGATGTAAAACAACCAAAATGTATTTAAAAAAGCCTGCAGCATTTCATTTCGTTTAAAACGATAGCAGTTTAAAATGGATTGTGACACCCACTTGCTAATCTGAAACCCACAAACCTGCAAACGTTTCTTACAAACAACTTCCATCCTGTATGAGAACAGAGGAGGCCATTGTAAAGGAAATGAAAATAGCACATTCTCTGTCAGGCATGCAACATAAACAACTGCTCCGTCTCATATACAGGAACCTTCAGTATGGAGCCGAGTAATGTACGGTCAAACTGAAATCAATCTGTAGTCTGTTTCAATACTGACCATGTGCACCACCTCTGGGTAGATGGGCTCTGTGATGACACTCCTGTTGTGGGTGATGTACTCCACCATCTCGCTTATGGCCGCCCTCTTCACCTCCTTCCATTTCAGGTCACTCAGTGGGTCTGAGATGAAGTCAAAGAGGACGCAGCACTGCCGCAACTTCTGGATGAACAGCTTCTCCTGCTCTGCAAGGGGAACATCTGCGAGACACAAGAGGAAGTCAACGGTCAGCCTTTTTTGTGTGCGTGTGTGTGTGTGTGTGTGTGTGTGTGTGTGTGTGTGTGTGTGTGTGTGTGTGAGATTACAAATCAATTCAGACATTAACACTGTATCTGGGAAATGTAGTCTCAACCCTATGATGGTGAGAGCTTCATCTTTTCATCAGCAGAATATAGAAATAGCTCAAACGTTGCTGGAAGTTTAATATCTAGGAAACACATGTATAATGATGCAGCACCTGGTCTTTTATATAGAAAATGATCAATGTTACATATGTGGAGGTAATACTGGTGCAGGAATGAGTCATAAACATGGAAATGAGCTAGCATTTAAGCACTTCCCGTCCCCAACGTCTAACGTTCATAATGTTTTTATGACTTTACGCCTGAAATGAGGTCTGTGGTTAATACAAGATCAAGAGATGTTCACGTTTTGTTATGTCATCACACCAAACACGAGTCTGCCTTCTGCTTAGCAGTGGTGACAGGACGTCTTGTGATATAATGAGTTTGCAGCATTACATTAGCTTTGTATCCCTGCTGATAGCATGTATGCTTGAAATAGGATAAAAGTGGTGTTAATATGTGGAGATTTTAAACAAAACGTCTAAATATCATGAACGTTTGTTTGACACAGAGCTTATTCTCTGCTATATTTCAAAATACAATGGAAAGAAACCGCTTGCTAGTTTCCGGGCTGGTCTACACAAATAAGTCATCACTGCACCACTCATTGATAAAGATTGTTGCCATGGTAATGCCCAAAAATCATTGTTTACATGTTGTTCTTCTCCCCCCCCCATGCAGGGATCATTTGTACCATCGCTCCTGGAGTTAGTCAGGCTCAGTACAGCTGTCATTTGATACTGTGGAGTTCATGTAGAGACATCATCGAAAGACTTCATAAATCAATAATTCAGCTCTTTAAAGACAGTGTCACTACGACATCAATGATGCAGCAGCTCCAGGATGATTGAGCCACGCCCGTCTGTGTGTGATCATTAACCTGCCTTTTCAAAAATCATTACACGTTCCTCTGTAGCTACTGCACACTCAGTGGCAATGAGACAATCTCCATTCTGCATGCATTATCCTTGAGTAAATCATTACTAATCACAAGCCGTCCACAACATTCAATTAATATGCCATCAAACAAACATTATGATAAATAAGAGAATTATAACTACTTAATGTTGAAACCATGTTCAAATATATCAAGACTTCCAGCAACCCCAGCATTACGGTCGGGCTGTGCCAGAGGCTAGGAGCTGAATGCAAAAAGATGTATGCTCTGAATTTTGGAAACGTTACACGTCTGCTCCCAGAGGACCTAAAGGGCTTTCCCATCCTGTACAACAAGAATGTAAACGGATATATAACGAACAAGGACATGTAGTACTTTATTAAAAATAAACAAACATTACAACTGTTCTTATATTCGGTACAGTTCTTGATCAAGTGGTACTGATTTGCAATATTTTGGGAACTTCTTTCACTGATTTTTTTGTATTGTTTCTACTTATGCTTTGGATTTTTTATTTTATTGTGCATGCATCTTTATAATAATCTGTGCCCTTGGCTGTCATAATAAAAATGTCCCTGTGGACCAAATAAAGTATTTCTGAGAGATTCCGACAGTTTTACATAATCAGTCTTTGTAGTGCACTGAGAGGGTAGTTAACATGTTGTCACGATGAACATACTGCAATAGGACATGCCAATATTGCTGAGGTGTTAACTTTTATGCTATAAAATGGACAAAGTGTCAGGAGAGAAAGTTTTCCCTTTAGCCTCAGTTGGTCAGAATCCCAAAGCTATAACAAGTACCTGAAAACAAGTGCAAGGATGCCATTGCTCATTTATTTGCGTTCAACGAGGGGATACAAAACAACATGTCTCCTTCTTTAACCCACCCATTGGGCTGAATGAGTTTTTGTCACAGCCTGTGATTTATGAGTGAGTCTCATCTCCCCATTAACATGTATGTGTACTGTAGGTAGCCATGGAGACCACAGACGGAGCTAGGACTTTGGACTGCGAGGTTACCGTTGCTAATCAAAGATGCAGGCTGCTGCTGTTACAAAGGAATCATATGCTGCTGATTTGTTGAGCCCATCAGCTGTGGCCATGAGACAATTCGGCCAAACTGACCTCGCAAAACATGGAGAACTGGAAGTAGAAGGGCAACGGATAAAAATAAAAAGACTCCTGGATTAGAACAGACATTTAAAAAAAAGATTCCTGGTATAGGCTCCAGCCACACCTTCCACAACTTCCTGATTTTAATTTTTTACAGCCTCAGTTTAAACTTCCTCTTATGCTTTTACTTTGCAATTGTCAACTATAGTGGTTATTTGCATAGAACCAGCTGTTCAAATGATTGGGGAATAAATGTTTGCAGAACTCTATGTAGTAATAGTTTTAATTGGGTTTTTAAAAGCTGTTTAAATGAAGCTGAGTAGAGCCTGCAGAAGTGAAACACTCATATTCCATATCTTCTTAAAACAGATGTAGCTTGACGAATTAAGAAAAAAAAATGCAAGTCACATCATGCTAATACTTAGCTAGTGTTAGCTCTCTTGCCGTTGCTTACAATGTGATAGTATCAAGGATCAGGGACTACAGTGAAAAAGTAATAGAACATCTGGGCTCATTATTAAACCCAAACTAAATCCTTAATTAAATCAAACAATCCCAACATCTAGCCTTTGTATGACAGATTAACATAATATGTAACTTTAACAAACATGAACCAACACAGATCAGATTGAGATGCCAAGAGTCAACATCAGATATGAATAACCACTGACAGATTAAAGAAAACATATTAAAGTTCAAGCCTATCAATAGTTGCAGCACTATAGGGGGAACCTTAGATTTCAGGTAATTTTGCTTTTCTAACTGTAAAACATAAAATGTCTTTGTCTTGCTGACATCTTTGTAATTAACATTGGGTATCCATTATGTTTATAAGGGACCAGCCGATACTGCTGCACTGCCACAAACATCGCAGTTGATGCTGAATAAATACATGCATTTAATTACTTGCCACCGATTCAAGAAGATGATTCGAAGAGATTCAGTACTGCATTCGTGCATACTCCCACACAAGCGAAAACCTGACCCTGGGACTGACAGCACCAACAGGCGGACTTTCCCAGCGCCTCCACGCTTCTGAGTCACATCTGTATCTGACGCACAGCGCCAAATGCAGCTACCTGTGTGCTACCTATACGTTTTTTAATTTACTGTGCATTTCTATTGATTTCTAGAACAGGCATTACAAAACAAGAAGTCTAGCTACCCGATTACAAAGCATTTCTGAGGCTATATTCGGACACAGTATAGATTAGTAACAGAGTGTGCAAGTAGCTTCGCAGTAACATCACACTTCATTCTCTCCATCTTGACTACTGGTCACAGACGGGATCTAATAGACAGCATCAAAGGTAAAAAAAAAAATGTGCTTCACCCCTCAGCTTTAACTACCACATCCATGGAGAACTCTAATGGGGATCTGCTTTATCTTCCAGCGCTGTGTTTATGTAAGGCACAGCTGAGTATATTCTTTTGTTATGTCTTTCTTTACAACAAGCTGCAATTGTTAAGCAGCTGCCACTGAAAGAATAATATTGAAAAGTATAATTTTTGTTGAGAAACTTTGGCAACCACTTTCCCTTCCCGTCTTTAGCATAAACAAAAAGGATTAAGCCCGTTTTAACACGAAACAGGCATAGACAGGACCTTAATGTGAAGGTGCAAACAAATATCTTTGCATTTATCTAGATACATCAAAAATAATGCTAAATTGGCCCTTTAACCCTAAATAATCACCTTGACAGCTTAGTGTTTTGGAAGTCCTTAAGTTTAATGTAGATCATGTGTTAGTAATCTAGCTGTAACAATTGATTTTAAGGTTGAACTCATCAGTACCCGGGAGATCAGACAGTGCCTGTTGCTAATGATCTGACACGGTTCCACCCATAAGCACCTCGACTCATCAACCACCGAGTGCCAAGAGGTCTTCCAGCTCCTGTTACACAACAGCACTAGGGTTTCTGAACAGGCCTAAAATATTAAGCGGCATGCTGTGCAACTGCATACTTCACACATAGGCCTCTCTGCATGGATGGGCCCCTAACCTTTAATCATCTAACGGCTCCAAGCGTGCACGCAGGAAGCCAGTCATGGGCACAAATTGCTGCCAAGTCCGTCTCTCAGATGCCATGGTGAGGTGAATAGTTGATGAGCTGATTAATAAGTGGTAACAACTGTGTACGTTTTGGTGTCAATGCAAACCGAGGACAACCAAAGCTAAAGCCTGTGGCTGTGTGATTTCTTGTGGCTACGATAATCACCATGACATTAAATGTCATGAGATCAGTTTAAGAGACAAACACTGATTGGAGAACATAATGTGACTTTCTGAATGGAAGAACTGACTTGCTGTATAGGTCTCAGTGTCACACTATTGTGGTTAGCAAGTAAATCACAAGTCACCTGGAGATTCAGCCACCACAAGCAGAGCCTTTCTACTGACATGCGTTTCAACTGACACATATACAAGACAATACGTAGGTGTATGCTGATAACAAGCTTCTACCTCACTTCCTATGACATCAGCAGTCTTGATGGGGGATGGGAGACTCAAAACTCACACTCCTAACTCTCTCACCCTCCCTCCCTGACTGACTGTAGCTAAGCTATGCAATGTCTTGAGCAAAACCCTTCCTCGTTGACATACAAACACAATCCCCTGCTTCCTCCTCCAAAACAAACCAACACCAACAGGATACATGTTTTAGTGTCTTGTAGAAACTTTTAGAAATGTCATCTGGGAATTATTTTCTTCAACACAATCTAAATTAGCAGTTGCTAAATAGTAAAAACATTCTTGCCTATCTCCCCTTGAAACACACACAAACACAGAACAGGCACATTTCCTATTCTCACCTCTAAAATGCATGAGGGCCACAGGCTGGTAAGGCCCGTTGGAGCTCGGTGCATCCAGAACCATCCCACCGTTGGTTCTAGTGCATGCCAACATCAGAGAGCGGAGGCAGGATACGGGGGAGAAGAGGGCAGCCCGGGCTAAGGCGAGGAGCCAGCCTCCATTTTAGCAAGAACACTCGGAGCAGAAAATGAAGCTCCCCTGCTGCTGAGGGAACTAGCTAGTGAGTGATGTCATAAACTGCAGCCGCCCGATTGGCTGGCTGCAGTCACGTGGGATGTCTGTCAGAATAAATTAACATGAGAGAAGGGATTGGCTGGTGGGCTGAAGGGGGAGGGGCTGTGGCTGTGACTGAAGTGAGAGCAGCTACATCTGTCATTTTGGTGCGATAAGCTACGCAAACCTTACAACTTAAGGATAAATACATTTTAAAATATTTTAAAAGGTGATGGAGTAAAAGGGATATTGTTTTTCTGTTCAGTTTTGTTCAAAGTTAATAAAAGGATAATTTAATATCCATAAAAAGAGATGATATGACTAACCCAATTTTCAGACACCTCTACCAAGAACTACAGACGTATGGCACTACTATTAAGGCAATTCAAACTGTATTTGACAGATATTTTTCTTTTTATTACTATACGTATTTGTGTGTATATAGGATTTGGTGTTTTATATATTTTCTTGAATTACAAAAACATTTATCAAGAGTTTTAAAGAACAAACACAGAACTAACCCTCATTTTAGCCACTTCTGTTACTTCATTACTACAACAACTACTACTATACTAAATACAAGAATAAGGCCAGGGAGTACATATTCCTGTCCAACATGAAGGCTGTTTTTTAGAGTCAGAGGGAGGTTAAAGTGACACTTCTCATTTTTCATTCACACCAAACAACAAAACCCAAATACCACAACTGACATGACAGATAACAACACTCACGAGTCCAAAGCACTTCAATACACTGAATATAACACACAAAAGCACAAGTGTTAAGCTTTCATGCCACAGTGCAAGTTTAGAAGTGATCTTTCTTTTATATAAAACAACTACAAGGTATAGGTAAGTTAAAGAAAATGTTTGCATATGGTACTACTTTAGATAACTAAAGTAAATATGTGAAAAACACAATATGGGTACAATAACTAAATGACTAACACAGGCCCTTTGAGTCTTTGTGAGTGTGTATTTGTGAGTTTTCTCTATGACAGATGGCTGTCCTGGACCCCAGCCCGAGCCCAGGTGTATGCGACAGAGAGACAGGAACGGGGGAAGTCTCAATGTGAGCAACACAGGATGTGCATGTTCAGAGATGAGCAGTCCTGCGCTGTAAAGTTGTGCAGGAAAAGGGAGAATTTATAGTGTTAAACGCAGTTAAACATCATGTTTAGAAACTACATTGAAAAGAGCCTGTAACTGTGGGAGGCTGTGGCGCAGTGGATTAGTGCGTTGGTGTTCGGATCAGGGGAGCATAGGTTCAAACCCCACTGCAGTCAGCATGTCGTTGTGTCCCTGGGCAAGACACTTCACCCCAAATTGCTCCTGTGGGGATTGCCCACTGTCACGGAGGTGATCTCTGGGCCCATAGATCTCGGCCTCTGGTGCCCTGTGTTGTCTCCTCCCCCCTCACCTGTGTCTTATTGGCCTGATTAGTGTGTGTGTATATAGGCTCTGTTTGCCCTGTCAGTGGACAGGTAGTGTGTGTGAGATCCTTGTGGCTGGTGACTGTGTTCACATGAGACAGTAAGATTGAGGCTGTGTCATGTACCACAAGGAGTAATAAATGCCCACACCGGGTTATATTTGAACTCTCTGCCTCTGCCTCCTTGCTTGGTCGGGCTGCTCAACGGTCAGTCTCACACCCACAGTATTGAGTATGTAAGTCGCTTTGGATAAAAGCGTCTAACATGTAACTCGTGCAAACGAGGAAGAAAAGTCGAGTCACAGTGTGCATCCACCCATTTTCATTGCAAACAACAAATTATAGCCGAAATATGCACTGTTGCATATGTAAGGTCAAATAGATATGTGTTTTAAATGCCAACATTTAAAATCAGTAGATCATTACTTGTTATTAATATTGTTTTATTTGTCCAGCAAATGTAACTCTAAATACACTTAAAATATATATAGTTGGGGCCTTTTTCCAGAGTTTAAAAAACAAATCAGTGTGTTTTTAATCATGTCAGTTACTTTAGGTTGTGACTGCAAAAATGTAGTATTCTGACTGATCTTTTGGAAAACTTGGCGATTAAGCTAAGTTTGACTAACTTGCTACATTTGCTCTAAACTGAAATCTACGCCATCGTTGTTTGTCAGCAATCTCTGAAACCTTGAATGAAAACACTGTTTCCCATACATTGATTTATTTGTGGCGGGCCGCCACAAATGGATCTCGTAAAAAAAAATTATTATTATTATTATTAATTTTGTTTTGGTGATTTAATGGATAGTGAGGTGGGCTGATGATCGGAAGGTTGCGAGTTCAAATCCCGCCTGGAAGAACAATACTAGCGTGCCCTCAAGTAAGGCACTTAGCCCTCAGTTACTCCAGGGAGAATGTCCCCTGTAATTGTGTCCCCACAAATAGAATCAAATTATGTGGGAAACACTGAAACATGATTGCATCGTTAAGATCCCCCGCATAATGACCTAGACTGCAAAATGCAATTTAGCAGTGCAAGAGGACTCTACCACAGAGTCTGTCTGGTCCTAATATATACAAAACAGAGGGCTATTTCAGCAGCAGGGTGTAGTCTGAGCGTATAAAGGGCTCTTTCTTCCCATTCTGTTCCCTAGTCATGGGGCAACCTCCCATCAGAAGATCTGTTGTTCTGACCAACACAACACTAAAACACTCCCACTTGTTACAAATGCTCTTCAAACGCTCCTCTGGCACATGCGTTCATGAGCTTTCTGCTGTCTGCGCTATTTTTGGCGGTGGCAAGAGAGTGAACTTGTGAGGCATCATGAGTCTGCTCCTGTATTGGATGGGGAGAGCTTTTGCTTGTGTTGTAAATCCATCATTGATAGCAGCAGGTCGGCCCGAAATACACAGCCGAGTGTTTCATTTTCAGATCTGCTGATCTTTAGTGTCGTGTTTTGAATTCTCCAGGCTCAGATCTATTTGGAGAAGCAGACTTATCAACACAGCTGAGGCATTTTCAACTGAAGCTGAAGCTAGAGTTGTTTTTGCCCTAAAGCAACTTCCAATGATATAAAAACAGCTCTATCAGTATCCTGGATCTATTCTAATGTTCTTTAGGAATGGAAGATGTCATGTTCATTATGGCTGCTATGTATTACTTTCACATAAAGACTGGAAATGAAAGAGACACATGTCTCAGATGAATGGTACAACACATGGTATTTTTTTTTGCAAACACAGAAGCAATATCAGTTAAAAATATGACTTCAACATTTTCATTTCTTTACCTACTAAAAGGTCCCATGTCATGGCCATTTCTACTGATCATAATTCCATTGTTGAGGTCTACTAGAATAGATTTACATTGTTCAATTTTCCAAACTCACATTGGTTTCTCATACAGCATCTCTGTATAGTATGTGTATTCACTCTCTGTCCTTAACGGCTTGTTGGAGCTCCTGCGCCCCCCCCCTTCCCTATGAGCCCACTGTGCTCTGATGTGTGTTTATGTGTTACAATGGCGTTAGCAACCAGAAAATGACACCAGTAATGACAAACAGATGAGAATGCTGCGTGGGGTCTGTGTGCCGTGTTGGCGGGACGTTGCGGGGCTCGCTGCTGTGAGGAGCGGACACTGTGAGCTGGATTACTGGGGTCGTTTCCTGGTTGCTGCGTGGGGTCTGCGAAACACCGAGACACCGCGGAGCTCAGCCTGAGCACGCACGCACACGCACGCACGCACGCACGCACACACACACACAGTATTGGAAGACAACCAAAAATTGTCGACCAATTTTAAATCTTTTACATCCGACAGGAAGTCCATTTCTTTTCAACTTTCGACTGAAACAATTTACCCAATCGTCTATGAACTTCGTCCTACGGTTTCCCGTTTCGACGGAAGTCCTCCCCCAAAGGGAGAGTGAGGACGCCACCCTGTCCTTTTTGGGGGTAAGGAGAAAGGACTCTTCAGATTGTGAAAGCTATATATATATATTTTATTATTTTTTATTGAGTGGTCGAACCTGTTTCGACATTTTTTATGGATGCGCTCCCAAACCGTGTTGAGACGAGAGTATTCTAAAACTCCTTGTCACAATTTCCCAGGCTACAGTACAAAAGACCAATAATGGGCAGGGAACACACAATACATCGAAAAAGACGTACATTTGCCAAGACGTCTCAGTTTTTGGGAGTCTTCATGGTGGGACCGATCGCCTCATTTGAGATTGTGTCTTTTCTGGAAGATAAGACGGGTATTGCGGAGCAACCCTCTAAAGAGAAAAAAGGTTAAAAAAAAAAGGACCATGGTTCGACTGCATTGCCTGCTGGTTTACCTGGATAATCAGGTTTCTGGTTAGACACCTCGAGGTGTCGTGTGTGTGTGTGGTGTGTGTGTAAGTGTGTGTGTGTGGTGTGTGTGGTGTGTGTTGTGTTGTGTGTGTGTGTGTGTGTGTGTGTGTTTGTGAGTCGGCAATAGAAAAGAGTCGGCGTCGACGCAC